TATGGACTCGTTCTGTTCAGAGATCAATCCTTATCTCCCATCACTCCTCAATGTGTTCCTGGAAATACCACAGAACACATCCGTTATATCTCCCAGGAATTATCCCTATCCTGCGAGTGGCTGAATAATATGTGGCTGTGGCCGATTACCTACCTACGGCATGTCTCACATTCCCAGCGGAAGGGCCTCACGCGCCACGCATAGGAGGCATGACTATACATACAGGGATAAATTATCCGGAGCAAGGGAAATTAAACAAAACAACTGTAGGAATTATACACTAACTGGCATTCGGAGAAAGGTATTCTCTACAGTAAGTATATTTAAGGTTATGTAACACATAATGTCAGTATGGCCAAGCTCAAACAGCGTCATTTATCTCGCTTGCATTGACGAAGATCAATAAATGCAGGAAAATAGTAATACTAACTTTATACATCGATTCGGCTGATTATACATCCATACTAACAGGGCAGATGAAAATTAGTGAAGTGTACATAGTAAGAATCAGGTCGTATCATAACTAATTCATCACAGACATGACATAAAATATATACTGCACAGCAGTCAATCAGATCTTAACCATCATGATACTACTAAATGAATACGTGAAGAAAAATTAGTCTCCCTGAGGACGTGTTCAAACCCGTCGAGCTAATCCAATAAAGGTAAAGTACTTTCTTCAGGGCAGAAATTACTAAACTACGTGTAATCCTATTTCCACAATCCATGTCTTCTAATCCACACACCAAAGAGGGTGTGATGAAGAAACTAAAAGGGGGCGCGACCCACAAATTCTGACATGGTAAGACGTGCGTGGACATTGCGCGAGTCATCTCACCCCTGAGGAGTCGTAGACCAGGGTGGCAATTTCCCGAGGGACACTTCTTCAGCTAGCCAGGACCGGCTCGGATGTGCTTCAATCTAAGCTGATAATGACTTGCATATGCAAGCTTCGGATGCCTTCCTTGGGTAGTATCATCCTGGAGGACCCTGCATATGGGGGGTGCTAAGGTGGACTAGTTCGAATATCTTCGTAGCCTGTACGGAGTAGTGCGAGGAAGGACATGCACTAGTATGAGAATAGGCATATGTTCCTCCGAAGGCTGCATAACCGGCCCAAAAAATGGGCTGCCAGATTCCATTGTGGCCCGGAAACAATTTCCGTAGGGCAGGCTATGGCAGCAGGCTCACGGAATGGTGCCAGCACATCTGGCTGAGACTGGGCCGCAGGGCTCCGCCTCGAGACATGGTTCAGTAGAAGTTCTGACAAAAAACGACCGGAACCCAGTAGATATTTGCCTTTTGCCGTTGTTGTCATCGCTCTTCCTTATTTTCCAAGTCGACAGTGACCAGTCAGTATAGATATAGCCTTCCGTTAGAATGACCTATTCAGGCAGACCACTGCACTCTGCGATGTACTCTTGGGTTCCTCATTGCTCGCAATGAATACGCGGAAGAGCGCCTCCACCGACATACTTTGAATGCCACCCGAATCGAGACACCGAGAAAGGCCTGTTGTTGACTGTCAAAATTTGCACTTTCTGAACTGCAACCTCTCATGGCATGCTCCGAAGCTGCTGAACAAGTGTAGTCGACAAGTCTTCACTGGTACAAGCCATAACTTTGCATCGCTAACCCGCAATGTCATAGAAGAGATGTCAGATGCGAGGAGTCCGCCGGCACTGTGAAGGCTGCACGGATCTTTTGAGTCACAAGGTTAGTATGGATGCAAACTTCTCCCACTTATTCTCTCAAGGCATGCGCCTTGATAGTTTGTAAGCGTTTCCAAAACGCATGACCTTGTTTTCCTCGCGTTCGGGAGATGATTTCGGAGGCGTCCAGTAGTTGCCCAATGAGGATTCCTGGATGTATTTTCCTTCGCTAATGGGCACTCACCTTGGCGCTAGAAACCACCGGTTCGTCTGGTTGCTGCTGCCCTTGCCCTGCTCCCTCCGCCCCCCTTTTCTCTCCAAGTAGGTATTCCTCATCACCTTCAGGTTTTATGGTTGCTTCTTCTTAACTGCCAGTGCCTAACCCGGAGCAGAATCCACGAATGTGATTGATCTACTAGAGAGACTGAAAATCGATTGGTAAGCGAAGACTACTTCACTCTCGACACAAATTTCTGGCTTCTGCAAAACTTTGCGCATGCACGGACAACACTGGGCGTATGCTCGCCTTCTGCATGTGGTTTCGTCAGAGCCGAAATATAGTCATCTACAGTTGGCTCTTACCTCTACTTCCGAGACGTCTTGCCCACGTCCACAATAGCCAGTGTTCTCATGACGGGCGATGGAACTTTCCGTCGTTGCGAATCCGGTCAATCCCTGGAAGTGGAGCAAACCAGATCCTCATAACATCTTCCGAACTATTACAGCAGCCTGCCCGCCGGTGGAGCGCCAGAATGGACTTTGGCAGGTCTGGACAATTTGTAGGGTCGGACCCGATGCCTTCGATGGATGCCTTGATCACCGAGATGTTGGCATTTAACTGACAAGGCGTGCCAAAGCGCGAACGAAGCTTAGTATGCAGCTGCTTAACAGCACCTTTCCACTAATTTATCAGTATCACCCAATCATTTCAAACTCGATAGACTGCACTACACCCAGCATTCAATCGGTGGAGTCTGCCCAATGCTGATGCCCGAACAAGAAAGCCAGACTTGGTTGTACGGATCCAACTTAGGACGTCGCACATGGCACTTTCGATGGAGGCGTATCGGATGGAGTTGTACATTGACAGACCTGACGTTCATGCTAAAGCGCACTAGTTCCCGTGACGTAACCAAACATATGACAGCATACTCATTCGCTGATCCAACACACGAGCGTGATTGACGATTGTGATACGAGCGAGAAAACTATTCCGGAGTCACACAACAGACGGTAGTCATATAAAGTGTGAAGTCCCGAGCACCACGTGTATCTTTTGCAGACTTGCAACGAAGCTATAGATTTGGTGGATGACTGAGTTCATTGTGATGAAACCATCGAGGATTGACGCTAGATCTGCACGTCAAATCGAGCCAGACTACAAAGCTTGGCGCTCGTTCGAACAAGGGTCCTTACCACCCATGCGAGTCCAGCACAAGCAACGACCTTCGGTGCCATAGAGAGATGTCTTCGGTATAATACGGCAAACTGTCCTAGATGCGCTTTACGATCACACCGAACCGATGGGGGCGCTCGCGAACACGAGCTGAGGTGTTGTCACTGTGCCTAAAGCCTAACGATTGGAAAACCGAAGATCATCGCGCTTCCTGTGGTATCCTCTTTCCCTTTTCGCCGAAGTGTACTGAGCTTGACCGAAAGGCACGTCTCGGATGCACTCGATCATCGGAATGACTGGAGCGAGTCTTCAGCTCCTAAAGGAGACACTTCACAAGGGTGGAACTTGCGAGGCGGACTGTGTATACCCCGACATGCCCGCGAGCAGAATTCTCAGAGCACTGACAAACCAGCTATGCCGTGGATTTGTGCCACGCCAAGAATTTGCCAGTATATATTGGAGTAGTCGAATCCGAAGATGAAACCGTGTCTTGATACCATTGTGGTACCCTCAGCCGCTACCAGTGTGTTTCCACCGAAGACAAACAATCGCCGTTTTTCTTAATGTTGACAACAAAACGCAACGCGGGACCGCTGAAATCCTAGATGACATGATGCTGATGACACCGAACTTTGAATCCAATTCTCTTTCTTGTTGTGGGAGGACGATTTTCGAGAGACTTGTCGCGATAAAGTCGAGGTCAGGAGGCGATTCTGTTTCTCGGCAGGTACGATTCTACTGATTCCTCGTCATCAGTATGCAGGTCTGCGAAAGAAAAAGCATTTAATGTGACGCCTGTTACATAAGTGTCAGTTCATAGCTTCCATAGAAGCAAGCTCTTCTGCCAGGCTGTGAAGCATTCCCACAGTCAAACGGGGGCTAATACAATAGCCACAAAAGCTGGTGGCGGCTGCTCGCCGACTGGAGCCAGGCTGCTGCATCGCGAAAACTTCCCACTTTGATACATGATATTGTAGGTATAAAGGATCAGCTTTGATAAGACCAGACAGTCTTGGGGAGGAAAAAAGAAGAGAGGGAAGGTCAGTGATCCGGTTGACGTATAGTCACGGCACCAGATGTTCTAGCGTGCACTACAAAAGCGATGTTTCCCCGAATGGCGGCGGAGACGAGAGGGAGCGAGGATTGGCTGGGAGATTTCTCCGCGAGCACAGTACCAAAGATCCCCCAAACCAACTAACAGGCCTAACCTTGACATTGCTCTGTGTTGCGGGTAGCTTTATTCCATGGTTCTTGACTGACCCGCTCGGCGAAATGTGCCTGCGGATAACAAAGTCGCCCGCAAAATGGTCACATATGGTGCTGGTCTGATGGGGTACCATCGAGGGAGCAACCGTGCCCGGTCAGGACAGCGCAATGATGATCCTTTCTGGGCTTTGCCTCTGCAATACCGTCCTATGGCTCCAGGGCCTGTGATTGATCTGCTGAACACCCTAATGAAGGACTGACTTTTGGCCAATAGTTAATCCCTGTTCGCGTGGCTTAGGTCAGAGGATGGACGCTTCCCCCTTCCCAACCCGACAGCTGTCTCTTCCTAGCCTCAGCTATTTCCTCAATAATTCCACCATTAAGCGGAAGAATCTTGTTGGGTCATTGGGCGGCAACACCCAAGTGCGTGGTCAACCACTGCATCAACAGCCTGGGCATAGCTTGCATCCACTGGTAACTCGGCTAAGCTCTTGGAATCAAGAGGCACCCATATTACGGAGTACACCTGTCACCAGATCGACGGATTTCCTTGTCTTGTGGGGCACTGTTCAGCCTGGACCTTCCTCGATATCAGTCGCCACTTCCCTTCTTTAATCTGATCCTTATCGTTCCTGCAATATTATAATATACACTCCACCGCCAAGCAAGCTTCTTGTCGAAAAATAAACGAGGGGCATCTCCACAGGTTAGAATTCGAGACTCCCGCCTCTGCGGACAACAGGATGAGACAAGAAAACACTGGCTCGTCATTAAACGGCGATCCCAGGTAGGTACCTTACTGTTAAGAACTTTGTTCATTTCGCCCGTATCCTCTTGACAGTATCGGTTGACTGTTTATTGCCGTTAGTCGTCACAACCAGAGCAGTCAAAGCACGCGTCTCGAGCCTCCAGACAACTCTTCTCAAACATCTGACCGACTCGCCGAGGAACTGGTTTATTACCGAAGCTTTCTCGAACAGCTTCTAGGAGTAGTCCGCAATGGAGATCAGGATACTGTCAACCAGATGGTTTCCATGATACGTTCGGATGCATCCCACCAGCAAATTCTGGCAGCCTTATCTGAGAACTCCGCCAACGGCGGCCAGACTGCCCAAGGGGCCCGTGGTCGGAATAATCACAATTCAAACTGAATACCTTCAACCCTGTTATGCCTCGCATACCCAGCAGGTTGTCCGCATGACGCATGATCGTTTGATAAGGTCTTCACAAGGTGTCCTGGTCCCCTTTGAACGCAGATGAAGGAGGTGGGATACAGCTAGACGAGTTATTCGTATATCTTTCTGTCTAGTACCATATTAGTCGGGTCTTTCAAGTCAAGGAAAGTCTACCTATCTATCGTCTCACATATCCTACCAGAGAGAGCCGCCGCCGGCAGCTTAGATGGCCGCCGTGTGCTGAGAGAACGCTGTGTACGATCCTTAAGACCAGCGAGTGTCTCGCACCAGGTACTGTGTTGCGATCGGGCTCTGGTTGCACCAACCTATCTCAATTAGCATACTGTATTCCTAGTGGGGCCATGGTAACCGTCCCTATGGACATAGTTTGCTTTTCCAATGGAGGCCGGCCTTGGACGCACCATTATCCATATCTGCCCTCTACACTTTTGGCTTAACACAGCGATGTGCTCATCGTGACTCTGAATGCCCACTCTGGTGACATAGAGCGCCCAGTGAGCATAATCGGCTTGGCTGCTTCCTGCAGGGAAGCTGCATGAGATTCCACATAATAACCCCGAAACGGCATTAATGAAAGCCTTCACTTACCTAAACCAGTTATACATGTTAGGCGTCGCACTCAATCACCCAATTCGAAAGTTGACAACAAGGACTAATGAGTTGAGAAAGTGATCGAGCGATCATCATATGTAGAGAGGCAGTAGTAGTAGTCGCTGCTCGTGATGTCAAACCGAGCTAAACCCCCTTGAGCGTCCAACCAACAACATCCTTGGCTGCAGACTATGGTGGTGCCTTCTCAATACGGGTCTTTCTTGCAGTGTCCCACTTCTTAGTATATCCCACTTATGGCATCGACTTCTTCCCAGTGATGTGCTGACTCCCTGGCTACTTACTGCGTATGTCTACGGATCAATAATACGACGGACTATAGTGCAAAGACACACTTTGAGTAATCCTTTACTTTCATCACGACCCACACTGGTCTCACTTCCAGACTCGATAGCTTTCATGTACGTCGACGTCAACGGCATCTATTTCTTCATTTATGAGAAGCTGGTGTCGAAGCGACCGTATAATGACGGCTACAATATAGTTATAATATGAAATTAAAAAGCAATCAGAATGATACTTTACGATAGGTCCTGTAATGCTACCAGGATTTCATGAAACATGACGATTTGCTTTCATAGTCGATATCAGAGAGTATTACCATGACTACCGATATCACATCTGGGATGAATCGGTGTATCATGTATCTATAAATCCTGTCTATGACATCAAAGCGTTTAAGGAGTGCAACGGCCCGTGAAACGAGGATACAAGGAGCAGTCGCGAACGGTGTAACGAGCACACAACCAAGCCAGGAAACGTTCGAGACCAAGACCGTAGCCACCGTGAGGAGAGGTACCGTACCTAAATAGTAGATGCATATTAGTTATACGTCTCTTAAAAGAGATTACATGACGGGGAGAGGCTCGTGAAGGCTTGACTTACTTGCGCTGGTCAGTGTACCAGTAGTACGGGGAAGGATCCATGCCTTCGTGCTTGTAGGCGGCCATGAGCTCATCCCAGTCGTCCATTCTCATACTACCACCGACGATCTCACCAACACCAGGCATGAGAACGTCCACACTCTCAGTGACACGGCGGTCTTCAACGTCCTTCTTCATGTAGAAGGCCTTGATCTCAGCAGGGAAGTGGGTCAGGAAGATGGGCTGGTTGATGATATCGGTCATCTTTCTCTCAGCAGCCTCGGCAATGTCATCGCCGAACTCGTGAGGCTTGCCCTCCTCGTTGGGGATGTCGTGTTCCCGCAGCCATTCAATGGCATCGGAGTACTTCATCCGCTTGAAGGGGCGGCTAGGGGGCTTGAAGTCGGGGTTGAGTTTCTCGATGAGAGCCTTGGTGGCCGGCTCAGCCAGAGTCAGATCAATAACACGGCAGATGACGTGCTCAAGGTGATCGAGGAGGTCGTTGAAAGTGATGAAGTCAAGCTCTGCCTCGATGTGGGTGTACTCGGACAGATGGCGACGGGTAAGCGACTTCTCAGCGCGGAAAGAAGGGCACACACAGAAGACGTCACCAAGGGAGGGGAGGCAAGTCTCCAGGTAAAGCTGGGAAGACTGGGTCAAATAAGCATTCTCGCCATAGTAGTCGAAACCGAACAAGGTGCTTCCACCCTCCACCTGAGTCTGAACCATGGCAGGAGGGGTGACTTCCAGCATGCGGTTCTCTTCGAAGGTCTGACGGAAAGCCCGGAGGGTAGCCGCGCGAACCTTCATGACTGACGAGGCGGTCTCACCACGGAGGACGAGGTGACGGTTGTCATAGAGGGTTTGGGGATCAGCATCAGGTGCAACTCTAGTGGTGATAGCCTCCTTGTCACCAGCAGCGCGGCCAATGATAGTGTAGAAATCGGCGTGCAGCTCACGGTTGTTGGGAGCATGTTGCTTAGGGGGGACGGCACGCATCTCACCATGGATAGCAATTGATGTCTCAAGGGTAAGAGTCATGGCATCGTAAGTCTTACACAGGTTGCCCGTCAGGACGCACTGCAGGTAGCCGTAGCCATCGGTCAGAGTGAGGAAGATAACGTCCTTCTGAGCACGCAGACGGTGAACTCTTCCAACCACACGAACACGAGTTCCAGGAGTCTCAGACTCGGGGGATCCCAGCTTGACAACGGCCGGATCAGTCACATCAAGACGGATCTTGGTGGGCTTGGGAAGTGATGTGTCCTCCGTAAGAACGACCTTCTTTGCCTCCTCAAGGATAGCCTGTCGCTTCTCAGCCTCCTGCTTCTCACGGATAGCCAATTCTTGTTCCTTCGCAGCCTTTCTCTTCCGTTGCTCATACAGGTTGGTGGCCTTCTTGACCGCCGACTTCGTGGCCGGCTTCCACTCCAATTTAGACGCGGGGTCGGCACCTGCCTCCGTGGGCTCAGTCTGGGACTTGCGGGTCAAGTACTGGTTGCCATCGGTAGGAGCGTGCTGCAAGAAAGCATGAAGGAGAGTCTTGTAGGGGGCAGATTCGGTTCCGTTGGCGGTCGAGTCGTCCCTGCCGACATCTTCGTCAATGTAGATAGAAGCCATTTTGGTGCTTCAGGTGTAGGGATCTGGCCAGCGCGAGTGAATTGGGGGGTATGAGCTGGGCTCTGGCGGAGATGTCAGTCAAAATGTGTTGCGGAGACGCATGTGAGTCACCACGAGAGTCTTCTTATCGGGCGCTCATAGGCATTGAGTGATGAGACAAAATGACAGAAAGCACTCACATGTAGACCAGCACTCTGACCAGGAAGGCGACTATGCAGCAAGTCCCGCGGGAATGGAGGCCAAGATGTTCAACTCGCACAGTGTGGAAGTGAACAGTGGAGGGGTAAATTTTTGGATCCCGATATCCCCACGTATTATTCAGGCATCAATAAGGCATACACTCTGCCGCCCAGCACGGATACTACCTTATCTAACCACTTGGAGACCCGGGATAATCTTACGTCCGGACGATGTAGTAGCCATTATGCACCGGATCCATTAATCATGAGCAAAATCGAGTGTTTCATGCTTGGGATGAAGTAGTCCTAAGAAGAAGACACATCGAACGATGTCTAAGATAAGGCCCCTCACGCCGATAGAGACAGGAAGCGCTACCGTTTTAAATATCTCAATTGCTATGTCATATCTTCTAAGGATGTTTCTTGTCTTCTCAACCAGCAATCCTATGGGTATTAACTCTGTACGGATTAGTGAAAGGGTTATAACTGTACGAAGTATGGTACTGGCCATTTGCAAAAAGGCCCGCCATGGAAGGTAGGCCTAAGGCGCCAAGACCCTATTGTTCTGCAGCCGGATCGGATCAACACATAGTCCGTCAGGACCAAGAGCCGCTGACCAGGACACCCCCACCAACACAGATCGTTCGTAGACGCTGTGGCTGGTTGAAAGTCTCCTGTTAGCCCCGAATTCTGGCACTTCCGCTGATTGATCAATCATTTATGATCAGAATGACCGATCGCAATGTGGGAAAAGCAAAGACCCAACTGATGCATCTCAGGGGATGGCATAACTCCTGGAGGCGCTGATACCGCTGCTGCAGGGAGATAGAACGAATTATAGATTTCTCAGCATCTGCCTTGGCCGAAATTACGCTGTCTCCCAAACTTGTTAGTCGGCCATCGTCTGAACACGAACCAGAAGCGGTTGCTTTGGGCAGGCTACTTGATACCACCCATTCTGAGATCGATTGATAGCAGATCAAAGCGCTTCAATCAGCGTGGAAGCGCAGCATGCTTCAGAGTGGGAAAGCCGCTGCTTAGTGCTGCTCATGCGACGGATGACAGATGGTTGGATGGAGACCATTTCCCCATCTTTTGCCTCAAAAGTATGGATCTGCTAAAACCTTTCACTCCACAAGAATTGATTACGCTATTACTATAATTATCCATTGGGACTTTTCCCGCAGTCACAATGATGGTTCAAGTTCACCATGGAGCATTGACTGGTTGAGGAATCCTTCTGCCGCAAATCCCCTTTTTTACCCACCTGCTTTTCCTCCCCCTTTGATACATCGATTACATACTTGCTGCTCTGTCTCGGCCCATTCCTTGCTTACCTGACCCTGTACCAGTCTGTCTCTTTTTGGCTAGTTCCTCGCGTTCTTTACTATCTGGGATTGTTGGTTCTCCCACAACAGTTCCCTTGGTTCGATTGTGATTTTATTTTAATTACTTGAGTTGTTGATGATAATATTCTGATAAGCTTTCAATTGTTTGATTACTGTTTACTTGCATTTCTATAAGATAGTTTGGGAAACGCAAGAGGAGAAGAATTCGGAGGGTGTTGTTCTTGTTCTGTCCTCGCGGATATCATTCATTCATTATTATCTTTATTTTCTCCTCACTATTTATCGCGCCTGTGTCCCTCAAACACGCGCCCCCCTTTTTCCCCTACCAGGGGCCCTCTTTTTTCCTCACCCTTCTTTTCCGCTTAACTTGTACTGGCGGCTGTAACCTTTTAGTTTAATTGTTCTTTGCAATTACTTTCTCTCTTTCCCTTTGCTTTTCTTTTACTCTTCGTCTACTGTTATTACCACTTATCCCTTTTCAGTTGGATTGTCGGCGGCCTTTGGATACCTTCTTTGTCAACGTTTGGGTCCGCTACAACCTGGCACTCTGGCAGGTCTGGGGCGTTCTCCCTCTCCAGTACTCCGTACTCTCATTTGACAGGGCCACCTTTATTTTATCATTATTTTTATCTTTTATCTTTGTCCTCTCATTCTAATCTCGGTTGGATCTCAGTCGGAGCACAACATCACTCTTGCTTTAGTCTCTCGGCCTCCTCACCCGCAAAGCCCCCCTAAAGCAACTAAACCAGCGCAAGTTTGTCTCCGTTTCCACCAACTCAACCACTCATTGCCCATGCACATTCCAATTGACTAGCGGGATCCCTTCTAGACACGTCTTTATTGGCAGTCTTTCTGCTCCGTGCTCTTTGCCGTCCTTTCTGCTCTTCTTTCTCAGTTTGGTTACCCTCATTCTGGCCTCTCCAGGTCTCTGTTTTCTTCCTTATTTTCCCCCTTCTCTTTTCGGGGGTGATCATCGGGCCCGGCCTTTTTTCCCTCTCTCCTGGCCATTCCTACCGTGTTGATTGCCTAGTACGTCCTCTCCCCCTTGACTAAGTGATATCGTTAATTTCCATCGACCACGAACTCACCTTATTCCGTTTTCCTTTATCAGGGGGACAATTGTGTCCTACTCGCTCCCTTCCCTCGCCATGCAAACCTCCGATGCAAGCATTCCGAGTCGTCTGATCCCTTCCAAGTTTTCCCACCTCAACGCGGACAGCACCGGCTTCTCTCACGGAGCATACGCCTCCAACAACATTCCCCTGCAGGGCCTAACGGACCGGAACGCTCGTCGAGCCAATATCCCTGCGATTAATACCTCTGCTCCCGTCTCGGACAACATGGCCGCCTCTGGCGCCGCGTTTGACATGAACTTCACTCCCCTGCTACCTTCTCAGCTGCTGCTTGGTAGCCCCTTTCAGCCGGGTACTCCTTCTGCATTCGCCTCGCCTCAATTCGCCAATTTCGGCGGCTTTCCTCAGACGAATGCCTCATCACATGCCCAGAATCATCAGAGTCACCATCAGCTCGGAAGTCCAACCCAGCCCTCGCAGAATGCTGGCCTATATTCTAGTATGATGTCGACGGATGGTATAGGTAATTCTCAAATGCTGGGAGCTCCTCAGTCTCCTGTTGGTGGGATGGGGCCGCTGGGCAACGCAGGATACGGAAGTCCCGCTGCCTCGGTGACCCCTGGCTTGCTTTCGGGTACGAGCCGAACCGTATACCTAGGCAACATCCCGGCAGAAACCTCCGCAGAAGAGATCTTGAACCATGTTCGAAGCGGTCAAATCGAGTCGGTTCGTTTGCTTCCTGACAAGAACTGTGCTTTCATCTCCTTCCTGGACAGCAACTCCGCAACCCACTTTCACTCGGATGCAATCTTGAAGAAGCTTGCCATCAAGGGGAATGACATCAAGGTGGGTTGGGGCAAACCCTCTCAGGTGCCTACTTCGGTCGCTTTGGCTGTGCAGCAGTCCGGCGCATCGCGGAACGTATACCTGGGCAACCTGTCGGAGGACATGACAGAAGAGGAACTGCGGGAGGAGCTAGGAAAATTCGGGCCTATCGATACCGTCAAGATCGTCAAGGAGAAGGCGATTGGATTCGTCCACTTCTTGTCCATCAGCAACGCGATGAAGGCTGTTTCTCAACTTCCTCAGGAGGCTAAGTGGCAGGCACCCAGGCGCGTATTCTACGGCAAAGATCGGTGCGCTTATGTCTCCAAAACACAGCAGCAAAATGCAGCTCAGTTCCTGGGTATTGCCCCTGGTTATGCACACATCCTCAATTCGGCGGACCGTGATTTGATCACCAACGCACTCGCTCAGCAATCTGTGGCCGCCGCAGCTGTGGCCACCACAGCCGGCGGAGTCAACAACTTGGGCAACCGGACCATCTATTTGGGCAACATTCACCCCGAAACGACTATCGAGGAGATTTGCAACGTTGTTCGTGGTGGTTTGCTGCATCATATTCGCTACATTCCCGATAAGCATATCTGCTTTGTCACTTTCATTGATCCTACGTCAGCTGCATCATTCTACGCCCTGAGCAACCTGCAGGGCCTCATGATTCATAACCGTCGTCTGAAGATTGGCTGGGGTAAGCATTCCGGTCCTCTTCCGCCCGCTATCGCCCTGGCCGTGAGTGGCGGTGCTTCTCGTAATGTCTATGTCGGTAATCTTGATGAGACCTGGTCGGAGGAGCGCCTTCGCCAAGATTTCTCCGAATATGGAGAGATCGAGCTCGTCAACACGCTTCGTGAAAAGAGCTGCGCATTTGTCAATTTCACCAACATCGCCAATGCCATCAAGGCGATTGAAGGGATGCGGAACCGCGACGAATACAAGCGATTCAAGATCAACTTTGGGAAGGATCGCTGCGGAAACCCCCCGCGTCAAGCTGGTAATGGAGGTCCGCAGGGTCGTAATGGGTCCGGGTTTGAGGGACCTCAGTCACCTTCTCCAGCCTTGAATGGCTTCCAGCAGAACCTAAGCCAATCTGGCTCGGGCTCTAGCCCGACTCATCCTGCGCTGTCTCCTGCTCCAGGGTCTACGGGTTCTCAGAATGGTCAGCACCACAGGCATCCCCTGCAGACCGTCTCATCCCCGTCTGGCATTCTGAATGTCGGTGCAAACAATCCTTTGACGATGTACCTCAACCAAATGTCCGCCCAGCAAGCTCAGGAGCAGGAAAACCGGCTGAATGACCCCATGACCTTAGCTGGTCTCCAGTCCCAGCCTCAACCGCCACAACAGCAGTCGCTCTACAATGGCGCGAGCACTGGTGAGCTTTCCAACGGCAGCATCGAGGCCCCGTTGCACCAACACAAGCCGTCGACCAACGGATTCTTGAATGTAACCAACGGCTCTACGGGCCCCGGCCACCATGCTACCGCTAGCACCAGCAGCCTGAATGTGCCACGGGCGCAACATTCCCGGGCTGTGAGTTTGCCATCGTTTTCTCAGGAGCCTTTCGGGTCTGTTTCGAGCCAGCCTCCCCGTTCCGGAATTGCTCATCAGCCGCAAAGCAGCTTTTCAAGCTTCACCTCTGCTCTAGGCGGTCTCAGCCATGCCGGCTTCGGATTGGCCATCCAGAACGAGAGTTCGCTGCCCGGCTGGGCTGAGGAGGAGATTGGAGCCAAATAATTGCACCCTGCCGCTGCAAGGGTGATGCCCGCTATTCCACTTGATGAGCATAGCCATTCTTCTTCTGCATTCTGTTCCATCTATATTGCTTTGCCACTTGGCTAATTCCTTCGATGTCTCCATTCCGATTTCTTTCTTTGTATTGGTTTCATTTCACTTCACTTTGGTTTTTCTCTCTTTCTTTTAATTGTGCAAATTTCCTTTCTCCGGCAACCCCCTCTTACCGATTTTAATATTCCTTTATTCCTATACCATCCTATGTATTGCTAGCTGGGCATGATCTTCTTCATCTTCTTTTGCCTTTCTTTCTTGTCATTTCCATACTTTGATTCTGCTTTTTTTTTTGGCCATTTGGCCGATTCTGATCTCCAGTTGGCTACGAAGGCGGGTGAGATCGCAGCCAGATCCTAAACCGGTTGCGGTGGGGTCTGTTGATGTCTCAGGCTGCTTATTTGCATATGTGATGCCATTCAACGGAACTAATCCCGAGCATAGAGCTCCCCTGTTGCATTTTGATTACGACAAGGGTTTATATAGCGGCGGAGGTAATTGATCCAGGATGATAATAGTGGATCCGCCAGCAAGGAACATAAGAAAGACGAGAAGAAGAGTGCTCAGTGCATAAGAAATGACAGACATGTGGTCACAATATCAAACTACTCCCAATAGAACTGTAGTACTAGATTGTACGAAGTAGCAGCTACCGCATTGGGTAATGCGTCAACACTGCGATCACGTGAGCATATACCCGCTCGGTCGCGCTAGGCCGGATGAAGATGTACCATGGAACCAAACGAAGCCGCTGCGATCACCATCATTTCATTTCACCACCACCTCGAGGTCCTTCATCACCACCGTTCTTTGACGACACGGTAAAGGCCGCTTCACACCTCTATTGAAGCACAATGTCTTTGCCTCCAGAACAAATAAATATCAAGCGTCGCAGAGAAGAGGAGCCGGTCGAGACTTTATGTAAGACTCCCTTGATTCGTTGCATGAGCGGCCCTTCTTCTAGTGACGAGGCCCCTCAACTGCAGAATATCACTAGCAGTTCCCGTCTGCCTTTGATCATTTTACCAAGTTGCCAACGCTAATGCAATCTCCAGACATTCAGTCAGAGCTGCATCAGACTAAGCGTCGATTCACGGACTTTGTTTTTCAAAGAGTTCAGATCAGTGGCAATAGCCATGAAGACAGCTCGTCTAGCCCCTCTTCTTTCTCAGCAGCGCGGAGAAAAGTGCTTACTCCGCGGTCGGTGAGCAACACCGTCTATCCAACTACTGGGGGCGTGACCAACCGCGTTGCTGGTGCAGGAGCAACTGTCCCCTTGGTAAGAGCCACGTCTCCTGGGGCAGAGTTCCGCGAGGAACGTCGCCTGGCGAACGCTCGGAAAGAAAATGAGGAGAAATTGAGAAAAGCCTTGCTTTCAACGCCTACAGAAAGCCAGCCGGGAACCCCATCTGCTGTTCCAGCTTCTAATGGAATCGATGCCGCTAGAAAGGTAGCGTCATCTGCATCCAGTGAGAGAGGAAGCCTGGCTTCCTCGCCGGGACGGACGCAATCTCTACGCCGATTCCAGATATCTAGATCCACTACGCCAATGAGCCCGCTCCGTAGCACAGGCGGTGGTGTCCAGAAACGCAAAGATGGCGCGGTCGCGGTGCTAGTAGAGAAACTGAGGCGCACGCCGCATTCGAGACAAGCGTCGATGGTTGCTGATGCTGCTGCTCAGGTGGATGAACAGGCAAGCATGACGGTTGCGGGCGCTCTGGCCTCCGAGCCCGAACGGCCGAGGAAGCGGCCGGTGGTGAACCAGGCGGAGAAGAAATGGAGAGAGGAGCGTAAGAGCGCGATCTCGGCTGCGAAGCAGCATATCTCACAGGTGCTGGACAGAGAAGCTGAGGCGGCCCATCAGAGTAATTGGGAGAATGAGTCGGAACGATTGGCAAGGGAACTGGAGAAAGTGGCTCTGGAGCTGGACTCAGAAATGGATGTGACGGCCACCGAAACAGACTACACGCAGCGATCGGGGTCGCAGTTTTCGAGACCGTCTCGGCCTCATTCGGTGATGCCCAAGCCTCCGTTGAAATTCCAACCGCGCACGCCCAATAAGCATCGTGCGGGAGCCTCGGACGCACAAGTGATGCAAGGGCCAGTCGAGAAAGTTGAAGAGGCGGCGAACACTCTGTCCGCGGGGCCTGAAGAGGACGAGAGCGACGGGGAGTACGTCTACGACACGTACATACGGAAGCCACTTCCAGACACTGGACTGCTTACGGACCCATTAGTTGGTTTGGATGCGGACCAAGAGGCTTGGTTGCGGCAGCATGGCATTGATGCGAATCGCCAAGACATTGGAGTTATCGTCATCACGCAGGAGGATGAGGAGTACTGGGAAAACTTTGTCGAAGACGATGAGGACGAGGAACGGTGGGATAGCGAGGATGCAGATTCGAACGGTAAGCAGTCGATCGCAATTTTGGCAGGACCTTCTGCAGACAAGGCTAACACCACGGGTGATCCCGGGCAGCTGAAAATAATCCCGCAAATGACTATCCAGATGAGGAATTGTCGTGGGATGATGAAGAGGATGATCCAACGGCTATCTACAACAAATACCGGACGTACGCTCGGTCTGATGACGAGGAGTTCGACTTTAGCGACTCAGCCAGTGAGGGGCGCCATCGTAGTGGATTCGGGTTTCGGTCGCACGTGGATTCAGACGACGAGAGCTGGTGATCGGAGGGATTACGGTGACACACGCACACAGAGGGCGACACGCACAAGCCATCAATCAGGAAGCAAGTGAGCAGGGAATGGGGGCATGGCTGACCGAACAACGAGGCAGCGAGACTAGCTCGGGTGGCTGCGTCTGCAGAACTCACGCCTTGTTTGGGTTGAGGATTTCATCGTATGTATGGTACTTTTAAAGCCATATTTATTGCTGGCAATCGACGAGGACGACGAGCTCCTCGATGAGGCTGGGCTCGAATCGACTCGACTGACCTCTTTTGCCGTCCATGAAGTCATCGACGTAGGGCCCTGATTCACCGCAAGATCAGCAGCCGTCATGCCTCTGCAGAAATAATCTGCATCCGCATCGCTGCTGCAGGATGAGCTGGGCCGCGACGACAGGACTAGGCCGTAAGCCAAGTCGACCGATGTCTCCGGCCAGTAAGGACCGTTTCAGAATTGCAGTGGTGTATTCTTCCTTCCTTCTTTCCTTTCCCTTTCCTTCCCTTCCTCCGGGGAGAAAAATGATCGATCCTTCAGCATCTCGGTTTCCCTTTTCCCCCCTCCCATTCCCAACGAAGTAAGAACCACGAGAGCAGCAGATCAAGCTGATCTCACCACCACCACCACCCCTCCTCCTTCAGTTTTACTACTTCTAAACCCCCCACGACCCTTAACACACAGACTCCAAAATAAGATTCTAACGGACCGAAGTAATGCGGGGTCCAAATCCTTCAAACAATCCTCAAGCCGATATCATTCGCCCTGTCATCTGATAATACGATAGATAGAACCTTCTAACTTTTCTCTGAACAATCGTATTATACGGGAGTACTAGTCATGCTCATCTTTCGGGATTGAAATTAGAAGCGAAGAAGAATAGAAGAAAAATAAATTAAAATAATTAATAATATCAAGAAAAGACTAAAAATAAGAAAAAAAGAAACGTTGAAAAACCTAGTAAGACATACATGCACAACCAAAACAAGCCAACCACTCATCCAAGCCCAACACCTCCATCTTGTCCAACCCACCTGATCGATTCCTCTTTTCCCTCCTTCCTTTTCATACAGCTGTATGTACGTAAGTATGTATATACGTATGATGTATTGTATGTACTATTCTACATGCCGAGAATTCCATCCATGGCCTGTGCATCCACATCATGCAGTAAGTAATCCTCATTATCTGCAACAAAAATCCTTCCATCCACCCCACCCATCCGCCTAAATGAATAACCATTTGTAGGTTTTATGTATGTACGTGAATGATAGGTTAAGTTAGACCAGGTCAGGTTACACCTCTCTTTTCAATTTCCTATTCCTATTTTCTTTCCTGCTTTGCTTTGGGTTTGACTTTCATGTACGTTCGGGATCTGAAAAAAAATCCTTCGATCAGCATGAATTCGTCTGCAGACTAGACTAGAATTTTCTTTCCCACGCGTCGTTCTCTTTTCGTCTACTTGGGTCTGTCTACCTGTCATGTCTCGGATTGTAAGTAAGGTAAGTATTCTGGGTTGGTGAGGTGAGGGGGGTCGGCGATTGGTTGGTTCCATTTCTTTCTTTTCTTTCTTTCTTTGGATTCTATTTTCTCGTATTGTCTAGATTGGGGTGTGTGTATGTATACTATGCTTGGAGTATTAGTATTACGGTGTATAATATCGAGTAGAAATAGGAAGAATTGGACTTGGCTGGTTAGTATGTGGGATATGTATACATAGAATATATAAGTTAGACATTAAGTATACTAAACACTGTCATGAGATAAACATGTGAATGTTAGCTATCTATCTAGCTATCATCCCAGTTCTGTCAACCCATATAAGATCAACCATATAAGCGAGGATATTAGACATATAGTGAAACCCCCACTATGTGGCTATGGTGGAGAACAAAGCTCCTCTATTATTTTTTGACTATAGATTGGGTAGCTTGGGGTTGTAGTGGATGCTAGTCATACTAATTATTGTAGTGCATATATTACTATAATACACTTGGATATTAATATCACATGGTACTTGTCCATACTCGCATACGTTGGTAGAGGGTAAAGTATTCCTAACACAATGGCTTAATGCGCTATTTAAAGATAATCTCAACTACTACCATTTCACTTGTACGTATGACAGATTGTCAAGTGCCCAGCCAGGTGCAGAGGAAACAAGTAGATAAGTCAGATAGACACTCCGTCAGTCTACAACTTGTGTATTATTCCGTCTCCCAATCTCACTGATATATTCATCAAGGTATACTCAGGTATAACACTATACTTATTTTCGCTACACTGATAGTCAGCATTTATGTCAATACTTCAAAGCATCTACAACCCACGTCTCCCCCATAAAGCCTCTCTCAGGCAAAAGTAAATATACGGTTCTACCCTTGAGTATAAAAAATGGTCTAAACCACTGTCATTCCATTTGGACATGGCGTATGGAGTTGACTTACACTACAACTAAGTCTTCTAGTTGCAGCATACTTCACTATCTGTAATCACAATACACACTATACATAAAATACCGTATCTAACACACTCACCCCCGTAACCATACGTACCACTCACTACCTCTCGGCCATCGGACATAAGTGCCAAAAGAGTTTATGACAACAGAGTGGGCAGGCTTCCTTACAGTATGGCCTGATCCGCGGCTGGGAAATCCCATGGTGTAATTATTCGCGCATTCATTCATGCGTTCCTCTACGCTTGTTCCTTACAACACAGATAGATAGAAAGAATAATTCGGTTATATTGATGATTGTCCATAGTCCCAGTAGTTGTTATTTCCGTAGCCAACCCTTTCAAAGGTGTTAAAAACAAAAAAGTGATGAGAACCAACCCACCCTTAGCCATGTGTGTAAGATGCATGTATGCAAGCAAAGATCAGATAGCCTCCCAAGTAGTAGTAGTAATAGTAACATAACATGCTGAATTGTGCCGACGTAAAGAGCGAAATGAAATTTGACAAAAGAAATAAAGAGAAATGAGGATAGAAAGAGGATAGGATAGGAGAAGAAGGGGGAAATCGAGGAATTAAACAGAGAGGTATCTTCAGACGGCCGTGAGTTGTATCAGAGAATTTCCAGATAAAATATAGAAAAATGAAAACAATTTTCAAAGACATCAAAATTGTCGAGTCGGATGGTCATTAGGAAAGAGTGAGGAAGTGGAGGTGTGTGAAGGAGGGTCTTTTTTCCCCCTCGTCTTTTCTTTTTTTTTATTTTCTCCTTCACCTGGGTATGCGTCTTCTGAGAACTTCCTCTTTCGACTCACGCATCCATGGATACCATATCCCCACCCAGTCAACCACACCGAATCGCGGGGCCCCCGATTCAGCGGCAAGACCCGCTCCCTCACGAAGAAAGTCACCGTCACGGAGACGCCGTTGCTCTCGCAAGGTTGGGCACTTCTTTTCTTTGATGAAGCGATAGAATTTGCATTGGATACCCTGGAAGCCCCGGCGCTGCCGGCTAGGGAATTGTTGGTTGAAGCTTTCACGTACTTCTTTCCACTCTTGGCAGAGGTCCACGCGGTGGTACCAGATGAAGTACATTTCCTCTTCCTCGTACTTCGGTCGAGGAGGTCGACGTCGCTCTGGAGCATTGCTGGAGCTGCTGGAAACCGAGTCATATCGCTCTCGCGAGTATGCGCCAGGCGATGACTCGGCCGATCGAGGTCGATAAGGAAGAAATGCTGCGTCCTGGGATGATGCAGAACTCTCTGCGTAGGGGTGGTGGCCATCTGAGTAGGGGGAATAAAAGTATTGGTTGGGACTGGGAGGATATAGAGGCGACAGTTGTGGTCCTGGGTGGCTGTAATGCATCCGAGAGCTCGTACTTTCTCTCTCTGATGATGGATTCAATAGAGAATCAATGGCCATGCGGCTTTGACGAGAAGCCGGCATGTAGTTTGCCTGTGGCCGCTCGTGAAGAGTCTCCATGGTAAATGTGTAATAACAGCGATGATAACAATAGACGCTTTAGTGGTGTGTTTTTTTTTTTTTTTTTTTCCTCCTTGGGAAGAGAAGATGATGTTCCAGTGGTAAGAGGGTGGAGGAAGTAGTGCGGAGACAAAAATAGTTGTTCCAGTGAAGGGAAGGAACAACCGCCAAAGGAGACCAAGTATATTTGACGAAGATGCAAGTAACGATGACTTCTCGCCCACAGTGAATCTGTTGGACTAACCAGAGGAGGCCAGCACCAAAGGGGGGTGGGTGGGGAGGAGTTTAAAAGAAATAAGAAATTTGGAAAATAGTAAGAGATTAAGAAGAAAAAAAAGGGAAGGAGTAAAAAATAAAAAATAAAAAAACAAATCAAAAATGTGACAGATGTTGGGTGTGTCTCTTTCAGCAAAGGCCGAAGGCGCTTCTACACAGTTGCACTACCTTACAACTGGTGTGTGCCTTGGTGAAAGAGAAAGGGAGCAAGAGGAGGAGGGAAAAAAACAAAAAATCTTGGGAGAGACAGAGGAAGTGACGTGGATAGGGTAGAAGGAGGAATGAGAAGCTTTGTTGAACCGATTAATTTCCCAGGACAAGCCAGTCCTTAAAGCATCGCCAACGCCGCACGAGACTCCCGGTTGGACTTTTAGTGAGGGCAATGGTGGCCAAGGGTCCCTGTTAGTTCTTCTTAACCCATGCAGCGTACCAAACCTCTGGGACTGCCTGGCCTGTAATAGAGGCCGAAGTGACTGCGCCCCCTGTCCGGTCGTGGGGAGAGTCACTCCTACGGCGGGTACACGACGGTGACCGGCGTGATGTGTAGCGCCTGCGCCAGCAGGGAGCTGCGAGGGTAGTATATTGGTTGGAAATGAGGAGAAAGCCTTGTAGGAGGGGAGGGCTGTTCGTCCACTGGTGGCAGTGGTAGTAGTAGTCTCCTGTTGTTGTTGCTGGGGTTTATTCTCGCGTCTGTTCCTTCAACCCTAGTCCATCTGCAAGCATGTCCTCACTCGCGGTGGCTGTAAAATAGTATACCGGTATTTATTTCGGCCGGTGATCCAGATGAACAAAA